TACAGGCATGAGCCACTGTGCCCAGCCACACACCAATATCTTTTTTCTCTTTTTTTTTTTGAGATGGAGTCTCATTCTTGTTGCCCAGACTGGAGCCTTGGCTTCACTGTCACTGCAACCTCCACCTCCAGGGTTCAAGCAATTCTCCTGCCTCCAGCCTCCCAAGTATAGCTAGGATACATGCACCCACCACCATGCCCAGCTAATTTTGAGATCTATCTATCTATCTAACTATCTATGAATTTTTTTTAGTAGAGACGGGGTATCACCACGTTGGCCAGGCTGGTCTCGAATTCCTGACCTCAGGTTATCCGCTCACCTCAAGCTCTCCCAAAGTGCTGGGATTACAGGTGTGAGCCCACGATGCCCAGCCCAATATCCTTTTTTCAACATTAAAAGAACCATTACAGTTGTCCATATATTTCATAAGAATATATTAAACAAATTTTAAATTCTAAGTGATACAATACATGATCTGTTTTATAGTGAAAGATACATGCTTTTTGGCTAGCAGATTTAGTACTTTTTTTTTTTTTTTTGAGGACGGAGTCTTGCTCTGTGTTCGCCCAGGCTGGAGTGCAGTGGCGCAATCTCGGCTCACTGCAAGCTCCGCCTCCCGGGTTCACGCCATTCCTCTTGCCTCAGCCTCCCGAGCAGCTGGGGACTACAGGTGCCCGCCGCTGCGCCCGGCTAATTTTTTCTATTTTTAGTAGAGACGGGGTTTCACCATGGTCATGGTCTCGATCTCCTGACCTTGTGATCCGCCCGCCTCGGCCTCCCAAAGTGCTGGGATTACAGGCGTGAGCCACCGCGCCCGGCAGATTTAGTACTTTTATTCTATCCTCTTCCTGATCAGAGGAATGGCCAAGACCTCTACTATAATCTTTTATGATTCCTTCTTACACTGGGTTAATCCTATACAGACCATCACCCTTTGCCTTTGAACTAGAGCAGAGACTGTGATAGTGCCGAAACTTGGCAGTCAATCTTTTATGCCTAAAATATGCACATTTTTTCTTAAGCCCCTGTAAAAGGCTGATGTAACTTCTTGACAGAATGACAGCATATTTCCAAGAATTAAACCAATATGTGCTTTCTTACATACATTTGGAATATGTTACTTACCCCAGCGTTTGGTCTGATTGGCAGCCCAGTCTGTATTGAGAAGATCCTTAAATGAAGATGTTTACTTCTGTCAACAGGAATTCTGTTAAGTGCGGCTAGGGATGCATAGAGGGACGTTTGATGTTTGAGATAGCTGTACTGGATCTGCCAACATACAACCCCTAAACCAAACCAAAACCAAAAACAAATTCTCAAAATCATGGCACAGTTCATTTTTCTTGGATTTAAAGAATGAAAGTAATATGATATTTGAAAAAAAATAAGTTAGGATAAGAATAACGAAGAAAAAAGCTGCATCTAGATTATATATAGTGGGTAGCAAGTATATACTGACTATTAACAGGCTAGCAAGGTCTTAATAAGTCCTAAGTATTGAGTTAACTAACCAATGGCTTTTCCAAATAACTGAGGCAACACTAGTATGAACAGATTTTGTCATTTTCCCTAAAAGATTCTACATGCAAATTAAAACAAAATGATATATCATTTAATAACTATTTCATGAGCAAAACTGAAAATTATAAAGCAGAGCTCTGCTGAGACTCTAGGCCAGGAATTGGTAAACAATGGCCAGCGGGCCATATCCAGCCCAAGGGATTCTGAGTTCGGAATGAACTATGGTTGATTCTGAGTGATATATACATTATATTTACACTATGTAGGCTTAGCAGCATAATCAAGGATATTATGTAAGTATACAACCATCTAACATAACCCTAAACATTGAAACTCACATATACAAATAAATACGTGTGTGTATGTGTGTGTGCGTGTATATATATATAGCGCCAGTATATACTATATATACAGCATATAGTATATACTGGCTATAAACTGCCTAGCAAAGTCTTTTTTTTTCTTTTTTTTTGGGATGGAGTCTCACTCTGTCACCCAGGCTGGAGTGCAGTGTCGCAATCTCGGCTCACTGTAAGCTCTGCCTCCCCGGTTAAAGCCATTCTCCTGCCTCAGCCTCTCGAGTAGCTGGGACTACAGGCGCCCGCCATCACGCCCGGCTAATTTTTTTTTCTCTTTTTTTATTAGAAATGGGGTTTCACAGTGTTAGCCAGGATGGTCTCGATCTCCTGACCTCAGGATTCACCTGCCTCGGCCTCCCAAAGTGCTGGGATTACAGGTGTGAGCCACCGCGCCTGGCTGCAAAGTCTTAAATAAGTCCCAAGTATTGAGTTAACTAACCAATATGTGTGTATAGGTATGTACATACACAAATATATTTAAAGTGTATATATATATACACACACACACACAAATATGTGCATGTAAAGTATATATATACTAATATGTGTATATATACACACACTATATATGTGTATATATGTACTATATAATAAAATGTAATATGTGTATGTAAAATATATGCATATATACATACACATACTATATATACACATATTACATATGTATATATACACATGTATATATAGCTACTATATATAATTTACAGTGTATATATGTAAGTATATATAATCATATATATGTATAAATAGTACATAGTATGTATGTGTATGCACATACACACACTTAAAAAAATAGAGCCTGGGTCTCACTTTATTGCCCAGGCTGGATTTCAGTGGTGATCATGGCTCACAGCTGCCTCGAATTCCTGGGCTCAAGGGATCCTCTTGCCTCAGCCTCCCAAATAGGTGGGACTACAGGAATGGGCCACTGTATCTGGCCTGGAACTAGTTATATAATTACTTACATAATATCCTTGATTATGCTGCTAAGCCTACATAGCATAAAATACTTACTATGTGATCCTTTTTTTTTTT